CACTATCACCACAATGAAACACGTCCAGAAGAATGTCATGCAAAGCTGCCTGCCTTCCTTTGATTCTCTCTGAACTGCCTGATCTTTTTAATGTCAACCATTTGTGCAGATAACATGAAGTCGAAAAGATTGCCGATGCTAATGTAGTGTTAGCGTTAGCATTTCTCCCCCGGGCTTAAATGGTGTATTATAGAATGATCCCACCGTTGTGACAGTACTCTTCAAAGGGTTCACGAAATATGACTACTCGTACTGTTTAACATTTTGGATTACTTAATGTTACTTCATGTTAAGGCTAATACAAAGGACAAGGCTAAGCCGGCTGTAATGCTAACTAACGTGCTTGCTACTAGCTAGGTAGCTAACTTGGTCCAGCCACTCCTGGTCCTTTCATCAGATGGGAAGCGAAAGAACGAGCAAGACCCATTGCTGGTATGACAACAACCTGGTACTAAGCACACAGGCATCTTGTTAAAATTATCTTATCTTAGCTATCTCTATTTTAGTGGAGGAAAACAATTGTGACATCAGTTATGTGTGATATCACTTACGCGACTCTGGGATTTGTAGTCTTTCTAGTTGCGTATTTTTCATAGTCTTATATTTCAACAGTTTTACGACAAACTGTGACTTTTTTGACATGGACATTTTTTTTTTAAGATTGACAAACATCATATGTGTAATTCATGGCACAATTCAAACGGGATCAAAAGATACGTTTTCTCTCTCCATTGACTTCAATACATAATTTTTCCGAAATAAGGTCCCATGAACCGGAAGTAGATGGGCGTGACTTTGCCACTCTATAAACACTTGATCCCAAAAAAGTAGGACAGGTCACCCTTGAAAAAGAGATCTTTTGATCTCAAGGGGCTTTCACCTGGTTAAATAAAGGCTACAAACAAGGACAAAACACATGATTACAGTGCTTGAGCCAATACTTCAATCAACGTATCCCACTGAGCCTGAGGCGCCATACAGCCCTTCAAATGCAGCCCAAACAATTTATCAAATTAGTTGATTGACAGAAAAGATACCTTCAAATCACCACATCGATTCACCATTTAAGTCATTTTCGAAGTAAAAGGGCTTAACATTCTCTGGTTCCACCTTCTCCACCTGGCGGATTTGCTTTTTGCTTCTCTCTTAAAGGTGGGGTAGGTAAGTTTGAGAAACCGGCTCGAGATACACTTTGTTATATTCCATGGAATGCTCTTAACATCCCGATAGCAATGAATATCTTAAGTGCTTTGACAAAAAATCCATAAAAAAATGTCATCTGTGGAAGCCGTAATACTGTAAAAAGTACAACCAATCCGTTTAGCCGTCCCGGCTAAACGGATTGGATTTCCGCCCTGTCTGTCAGCCTTCCATCTCGTGCACGCACAAATGTATCTCGTGCCCTCATTGGGCGTGCATTGCAGCAGTACTTCAATGACTCGCCAGCAACAGGCGGCCACTTTCACCAGTCTGCTGACGTCATGTGCGCGTTCATGTGTGTTGGAGGAGGTGCTCTGTAAGGAAGTCTGAAGGAAGGGGCGGATTCTTTTCGGCTGTGTACTTTCAAATTTTAGTGCACTCGAGCCGGTTTCTGAAACTTACCTACCCCACCTTTAACTAACTGAATCAAAATGATCATATTGTCCAGAGATTGTGATGTCATGTTAAAAGTCTGTTTTGGTGTCTTTTTGTCCTTGTTGATGTTCTTAATGGCGCTGGTGTGATGCAAGAAAAATGTCAAACAATTAAGTATTTTTGGATTGTACATTTGAGTTTTGTATTGTTTGTCAGACAACATAAGTAGATGTTTGTAGATGTTACTTTGGCCTTTAGGAATTTGCACTTGTAAGAATATTGTGACATTTTATGGTAATTGATCATTAATGAAAATAATCATTAGTTGCCGTCTTAAATCCCAGTGAAATGACCAGAAGCCAATAGCCACAGCAGGAAAGCAGAAAACAATTATTTTAAATGATATAGCAGCACTTTTATGTGGTTCATTGTGCTGTGGTTTGACATCTTAAAAAGCAGGTGACCTTTAAGGTAGCTAATAAGTTTATCACACAGGATCACTCACAACACATTTCCTCTCATTTAGATCTCCCACTGGCATAGTTGTACCTGTTGGGGCTGATTACACTTGACACACGGTGACGTCAGCTGGGAAATAGACATATCTCCACCCGGTACCATTGATCTCTGCTCAGCTACACTGACATCACCTATCTCCCCAATTAGCCTAGCTAATGAAGCGGAAGAAAAAACTCTGGTTAAGAGTTACATAAGACATCAGTTCCACTACATAAGACACACTGACCACCAGCATTGTTTTCTGCTCTGTAAGGTCAACTATTAAGTGGAAAGCTTACATAGCTAAAACAATTACCTCCAGAAGGGGATAGGCTGAGAAAAGGCTGTCTTTTAATTAGTGGTCCATTAGACTGCTTTTACAAAGAGGATTGTGGGCATTGTGGCTTCCTGTGGGTAACTACAGCAATGACACAACAAGAACTTAACATCTTGCGCAAAAGCCTACTGTATATCCTTACAACATGGATGACTGGTGTTTTAAGAAAGAGTGCAGGTTGCATGTTCTAAAGTAGTATTAGACTTTCAGCTCAGCTAGTGGTGGTATCAGCTGGCTTAGCTATTACAACAGTTAACAGAGCAAAACATGTTGTTGTCTATGGCATATCATTAGTTCCAGCGCATTAGACACAATGACTATCACTGTGACAGCACAGCGTCTCATTCACGAGCACACTCACTCTCACTACGGAAACATCCACATTTACAGCACAATGGTGAGCTTCATGTATGTAAAGCACAATCTGAATTTGGCATTTTCCTGTAGACATGTTGGCTTACACAGCCTATGTTAAAAAAAAGGGTTTAAAAATGTGCATGGACATGTCCCAGTTCACAGCACAATGGACTTGTTAAGGCACAACAAGAGTTGTACACATTAATATCCTACGGTAAATTAGGTGGATTCATGACATATGTACTGAATACAAACACACACGCATGCATGCCGACACACACACATACATCTGTAACAGGGTCCTATTCAACATGACAATAGGTCTTTATACACTTACTGTACATGACTCCATGAACTGGGAATTCTTCAGTTCTGCTCATGTTTATGCATCAGTGTATATACAATGTCTCTTTCTATCACAGTACTGCTTCAGTTTGTATGCGCCCCTCGAGATCCTCTGGCATTAAAGATGCATTGAAAGAAAAGAAGGACTGATTTTGTGGGAAGCATTGCCTAAATCTCTCCACTCTGTTTCTACTTGACGTCCTTTAATTTCCAGGCTAATCCACACAAAATATTGCCATGACTTACCTCTACAACTAAAGCTGTTACTCTTGCTGATATATTATATTAATGATAGCAATCGAAATAGTGATAATAATGGGTTTAATTACTGTATTTAATGTTAAGGGTTTTGATCATAGTGACAAACAAGCAGGGATTAATTACCTTACCTCTGACTTCAAAGTTCCCTCTGCTTCTTTTGTATTTAGGTATATATATAATATTTGCTGTACCCACTGTCCATCTCTGCACCAAAGTCAGACTATCATTGCACAATATTTTTTATTTTTGTATGTCATTGCAATGTCAACCCACGCCATAAACACATCAGATAAGACAACATTGCATTAAGGGGATTTTTTTGTTTGTTAATAAAAGAGCATATTCGTGAGAAACTGCACAACAAATTTGAACTATAATTCTTTCCATTTTGGTAACTTGTTTTGTTCAGTTCAATGTTTATTAAAAGACTTCTAGGAATTATTTCCTTTCAGTTTTTGAATTCAACAGGCAATTTGTTGTCTTCTTGCAGAAAATGGAAAGTAGCAGAAAGGAGGACCAAGTTAATTAAATGTGTTCATTTATTGCAACTAACATTCTTATCGTTATACTCAATGTTTTAGTATATCACATATTATCCTCATATTGTGCACCCTTTCTTTCACTAAATGTTAGTGGCTAGATGGACAAGCTAATGAATCCTTCAGGCAAAGAGATATTACCCTCATAAGGTTGTGGCAAGCTAAACTTAGCTAATTGATTTGGCCAGAAACACATTTCCAAATAAATGCTTACGTTGGTAATGTTCTGTAAATAGATTAATAATTAATAATAGTAAGCCAACATGCTCACCATATTAACTTTTTAGGCCACAATAATATGCCAATGTTGTGTTACTTTTCAAGTTGTCCTTGATGAATTTCTCAAATGAATGCCAATTTGTTTGGGCATTTCTAGCTACATTTGGCCATGTTATGTTTGGGAGGGTAAGACAATCAATCTTCAATTTGCTGTTTCATTGTTCATAGTTGGAGTTCTAGGTGGGATCTTTCTCTTTGACGTGGAAGACGTAACCAAACAAACTGAAAACAGCACTTGTGTTCCTAGACCCTCCCTATTGTCTCGCCTGGCACCAGTTTCCATTGACACAGATGGAGATGGGAGAATGGGGTACAAAGAGTGTCAGACACACAGGAAGTTGATTCCATGGGTTTATATCCGGACCATTCCTTTCTGCCTCAGTCCATACATGTTTCCCCATAAATCACATGTACCTGCCCCATACATCTATCCATCTACCATCCATCCTTCCTTTACATCCACTGCCTCCATTCATCACTCCCAGCCTCCATCTATCCATCAATGTTCTGTGGGGACTCTTACTACCATCTTAAGGCTCCCACCAACAGCCATTCATCCTTCCAGTCAATGCATTTGTCAGCCTGTCGCTGAAACCAGATCCTTGCTTGTATCATGACCTTTTACACACCTATTAACTTCTGAAATGTGACCTTTCAGCCATCCATCCTTTTCCCTACATTCATCCATCTATCCACCCAAATTCTACTCCATGGCTTGGATGTATGATTTCTTCTGAGCTCTTACAAAAAAAGAATTCCTTTCTCCTGGTTGCTAATTTTACATGATCAATTGTAAAAAGACCACTTACCAGCTGCATGCCACAGATGAAGGCCAAGGTGCACCTGCCACTACAGCACCCCATGGTGTCCTCCTTCCTCTCTCCCCGGTGATCCAGGTGGAGCAGAAACTCTGGGTAAAACTCCCAAATCCTCCAGCTGGACCTTCAAAATCCAAAAAGCCCTCGGAGGGCCTGTCTGGCTGGCTGGCCGCCCAGGTAGAGGCTCTGGCAGCTCGGCCTCAGCGAACAGAGTGCAGCCCCTGTACTCACTGGAGCTCAGGGGAATAAAAGGCTACTACTTCATCCAAATGGCTGGGTTACTGACACTTAAACAGATTGAAACGTGGTTCTTTGGATTTCCAACACACATTGGGTCAGGGATCAAAATGATGGAAAGGTGGGCCTTGGGGATGAATCAAGTCCACAAATTGTTCTTGATGTGTCCATGGAGCCAATTATATAGGAAGAGCCTATCCAACCCTCTGCAACTGTAGGCAGTTTGATAGTCAGATTGTGTGATGTATTTTTGACTGACTGGTTTGGAATCAAGTCAGATTTCTGATCATGTGTGATCTTGACACAATCAAAACTATCTTGATCAATGAAAAAGGGGTAACTGTGACTCTCCTCTACTGGACTAGAAAGTGTACAATCACGTCGAGTAGTCGCATCCCTGTCACAGGATTAGCATGGCACCGTACAGTAAATAGCCACTTGCACAAACAGTGACAAATCAGGGGGAGATGGTAAGATTAAATGGATGTATTGCCCAAATTAAATGCTCTTTTGTTTGATAATCCGATTAGGCGCCACTCGGTGTTGGATCATTGAAACAGGCTAATTTGTTTCAGGGTGGAGAAAAAAAGTGAAAGTGGTCCCTGCCTCCTCTCATGGAGCAGCTCCTCTCAGGGGAAGTACCGGGCTTGTCGCGGCAACATCCTCGCATTAACACCGTTCAAAAACACGTGGTTCTTTTTATCTCCAAAACCGCGGTTGTAATCCAAGATTTTGTATTTTTTGTGTCTGAATTCTGTGTTTTATCCACTCAAAACGGGGTTGCTATTATGTTGTGATATGTCTCCAGACAGTGGAAGCTTTTTTTCGGCGTCTCTGTTGGCTAACAAGTCCTCCGGAGCATCTCCCCTGCAGCTCCACAACAACCCCCGGTTTGGTCAGCTGCTGGTCGGGTAAATCACTGCCTCCTCCGTAACAGCGAATACATCTCTACAGCGTTAAAAAGACAGAAAAGCGTGTCCACATTTCGCATGGACAGGGTGAGGATACAGGTCGAGGTAAGTGTCCAAACGTAACGTACCCGGGGTGGTGTGAGAGGGAAAACGGCTGAGTTTAGTGTGTAGTCTCGGTGTTGCCTTCAAGGAGTGAAAACGGGAGACAATGGGAACCGGGATGGACCAACGGACCGAGAGAGACAGCCGCCAAGAGCGTCTCACGCCTGCCATCTGTCAAGTCAAACAACACGCATCACCGAAGCTGTTCCGGTTGTTATTTTCAAAATAAAAGCCAACATATACTGTTTCAATGGTGTTTTCATTGCTTGCCATTGGTGAATAAAACATTAACTGTAGGCTATGTTTTTCAGCTTTTACTAATGAATAACCCATCCTTTTGCCTAAAAAACATAATCAACCACAGCAGACAATGTATTATTTAAGAATATAACAATACAGAGAACGTAGATCTATAAAATACTTTACTTGCAACAGAAAAATATTACATCGAAAATACTAGAAAAAGTAATGAATTTGAAATTGGGTCTCAACAGGCTCCCATATTGTTTTAGGAGGTTGTTTAGGAGGTAACAGACCTAATTCAGGTGTTCTACTAGTGTTCAACATTTTTGGACCTTTGAGTCGGCTACCTAAGTGCACATTTATCTTTAATACAGAACTGTCCCAATGGTAAGTAGACGGCATTTATATAGCACTTTTTATGTCTTTACAACCCCCTCAGTCAAACTATCACACACACCGACATGTTGTTTGTGTTTGATTTGTGTTGTACCTTGCTTAAAACAGTATGTTTTTTCTTAGATTTCATATGTCCAAAGGAACTAAGTATTTACTCAAGTACCGTACTCAAGTACAATTTTGAGGGACTTTACTTGATTTGAGTATTTGGATTTTTTTGTTGCTAATTTGTACTTCTACCTTACTACAATTCAGAGGTAAATATGGTACTTTTACTCCACTACATTTATTTAATATGTTTAGTTACTTTGCAGATTTGGATTAATGATGTCAAATATAATCAACACTTGAGACTTTAGTTACACCTGGAGTAAATTCACAAGCTACCCTGCAGTATACAAAGTAATTAAAACTATAGCTGCACCATCACCAGCTTTGAAAACACTTTAATGCATCAATAACTATAATCAGAACATTGATTGAATATTAGCCAACCTGCATAATGAGCACTTGTACTTTAAGTATATTTGTATCCTTATACTTTTGTACTTTTACTTGACTTGCATTATGATTGCAGGACTTTAACTTGTAACAGAGTATTCCTACACTCTAGTACTAGACAAGATCTGAGTACTTCTCCCACCTCTTGGGTTAAGTTGACATTCAATGCACCCTAGTGCAAATTCATCACTTCAAATGTTAAATGTTGTCTAGTAGTGCCTTAATGACAAAAGGGACGTTGCTTAGTTTATGTTATAAGCTTGTTTATCAAAACTATATTAAGTTATGTTGTTCATATTGTTGAATATTATAGCGAACATTTTTTAAAGAACAAACATTTATGTATTATATTTGTTTTAAGCATATGCATTTTATTTTACTTTTCCTAAATACTTCAGATTTATTTATGTATTTTGACTATTCTGTGTCTTTATTTTGAAGGCTAAAATATCTTACTTCCGTTCCTGGTGTCGTTGCCTATGGCCCACTTGATGCAGCTGATGTTCCGCTCGGCAGGGGAGCGGCGGGGCTCTTTTCACTCACTGAGACTCACAAACATAGACAGAGAGAGATGAAGCTTTGGTCGGCGTGCAGCTGCTCAAAAACATGGCCTTCAACCATTATAGTAAACCAGTCTATTTTCCTCTGTCTCTCTCTGCCTCCCTTCCTCTCTCCCTCTCTCAGTGGGGAGTCTTGTCTGATTTGTCAAGATAATAAATTCATCCCAATTTTTCTTGATAACCTGCTATTAAATCTCAATGTCTAAAGAAAAAAAGGGAGGACAGAGTGTTTAAACATTTCATGTAGCATATTGAAATTGCTCACATCTATCCATCAATTATTGGAAAGAGCCTTGGGTTAATATACTTCAGAGCGTGATTGCCTCTTTTATGAATGCCACTTCATTTAGATCAGTAACTCTGTAATGTTCCCACAGCAGCTGGAGTACAGTGAAGGCCTCGCGGCTGCAGCCTACAGCCAAATTAGGCAACAAAATGCTCCTGAAAGCAAGCAATTAAAAGTGAGGAATCTGTGTGTGTGGATTTGTGTGTGAGTGTGTGTTGGGTCAGTTGTGCCACGGGCAGCAGTTTAAACAGACACAGAGGTGTAGAGGCTATCACTGCTTTACTATACAGCATAATGGCCTGCTTTCCCCTCACCATCAATCTCTGTCACAGTCTACCCCTCCCACACACACACATACACCCTGGAAAACAACACACACAAACAAATGCACATACACACACATTCGAACCACACGCAGTGCGACAGGAGTTTAATTATGCCGCTAATCTTGAGTGACAGTGGCATGTATAATGGCTGATTCCCCGGGGGCCATGTGTCAAAGCATCCACCCATTCATCCAACCATCACTTCTTCTATTTATCATCTTACCTACTTAGTCATCCACCCATATGCCCATGTTTCCACTCAACTTTCCATTTGTTATCCTCAACATCCCTTCATCTGTCTTTTTATATCACTTCCTCCGCATCTTTATTCCTGTCCACGTCTTTGTCATCTATGTGGCCTGTGTAATAGTCAGCCTCTCAAATTTTCTTTTTGTCACACATCATCTGCTCATAGCAAAGGTGACTGACCGAGCCAATTTGGCCGTTGCCCCGGGGGCCACTGACCACTGGGACCTCGACCTCGGTTCACCTGAGGGTCAGGCCCCTGATGGTCAGAAGGGAATGTATCAAACACATCTCATTCGGAGCACATATAAAAGCCATATGAGCTCTCTATTTAAAAAAATATGAATTGTTAATGTAATTTTGTGATGATCACTGGTCCAGACTCTGAAATTAATATTTTATTATAGTCATCTTTGTGTTTTGGATTGTTGTAATGATCACTTTTCAGGATATTTTGAAATCTTAAAAACCAAATAATTAGTATAACAGTTGGGTAGTCAAATAATGGGTCGTTGGCTCCCTATAATATAAGTAGTCTCTATTATCAAAAGTTATTTTAAATGATATATTGCTTTTAAATTGACAAGCAGAAATGTCCCGTATGGGTTTGATTCAAACAGTAGTTTGTCTCAGCACAAGGTCGACCCAGTACCCTTTATAACAAGATCTGCCTCAGCAGAGGAGCTGTCCAGCCGTCATGGATTTGTATATGTTTAAAATGAAAAACATGATTTGCATTTCTGGTCCATGTTGGCCAAAATGTAAAAAAGCAAAGCGAAAGAGGTAACGGCACATTTATTAAAACATATTCCTGGAGATTAGCAGTAATTTGTACAGAGAAAGAATTAAAATGCTTTGAAAAGACACATTTTTATGTTGATTGGAAAGGTTTGCCAACATATGCTGCTTACCTGTCAAGTCAATAAAGAAAGAAAGTGACAAAGAGAGAGAATCTTCCTCCTGCCAGATAGTGAGTGTGTGAGTACGTGTTTCTTACATTATCTGTCTCGACCAGATGTCACCAGATGCCTGCTGCTGCCAGCCTATCACAGCCCGCCCACACACACACATAGACTCAATCGCACACACACACACACACACATACACACACACAAAATACATAAAGAAAACACTCAGACCTTCTGCCACTCATGACATGCTACATCTCCTACACGTCGTCCTATTTGAAAACTATCTTTGAATGCAGACCCAGGTAGCTTATATGCATGTGGAATATCAGTAGCAGTAACTGAGCCAGTGAAGAGTAAACACACATCTGCTGTCTACGCCACACAACATTGAGGATGGACATCATTTGACACGAAATGAAAGACAGAAAGAGAAAAGAAGGGTAAGGAGTCAATAAAATTGACTAAAACTGACTTAAGTATTATAAGAGTATAGGTGTCAAATTATATATTTTTGCCACTTAGGGGAGAGAGATCATCTTTAAACACAACTGAAATAATACCACCATTTAAATTGATATGGTGTATTATTTAGACGTGGACCACCGTTAGTATTAATTTGGAGTCTGTAAAATGTCAATCCAATCATTTTAACTCTCACTTAAACTCTGTTTACGGCTAAAAATAACTGGCTTTCGTTGAAAATGACTGACGTGAGCTGTGAAGTCACCTGTTTTAGCTCCAACTTAAAAAAAATACTGTCACATTTTGGGGGATATTTAAACATCTTTTAAGTATTTCTAGGTTTTTTTTCTTAAGTTAAAGATAAGAAAAATGGGGGAAAGCTTTATAATTGGCTTCTCAGTGTCGGCAAGTTGAATAAAAAAAGAATTCAGACAGTACAGACACCTGTCTGTCACCATCTGAAGTTAGGAGGTGGATATGTCAATCACATAAACACAGTATGATCAGATCCGACAAAGTAGATTCACTCTGAAGTATTACGCATTATAATGAAGCAGACCCAGAACCACTATAGAGCTGGTGTCAGAATGGAGAGTGAGGTCCAATCTCGAATCTTAGTAACTGTTTCTTGATCTCTTGATGTGCTTGTGCAGCAAGAGAGCACCTTTTACCGTTGGCCCAGTGGCACAAGGGTGGTTCAGACAGACTCAGTTTTCAGCATCACTCACTTCTTTTTGAGAACATTGCGTCACTGACACTATTGATGTTGCCAGACAGGAATCCACAGGCACCATCACTGATTTTCTGTAGATGCAAAACAAAAACAACATGAATTCTAAGGGTTATTCAACACAACTCACCATGTGTGGACGTACATTTTCTGACCATGTTTGTCTTTGGGATTTGAGACAATGAAACATTCTATTCCTTTTTTCTATTCCTTAGCTGATACTATATGAGATGTCAATTTCATGGTGATATATTGAACAGTTTACAAGGTCAAATAAAACTGCTCAAAGTATAACATATATATAATGTTCATACCAATGCAATACACATCCATGTTACCTTGAGTTTCCAACACACAATACCACAAAATCTCAGACTGGAACTAGAACAAGTGGTCACAGGATATAACAGATTTGCACATGTAGGAATATCAAAGGTATCATTACACTTAGTGTCATTGTAATTAATGTAAATGTATGGGAACAAAATATAGACATTTTC